CAGGGGATCCATCCCCTAATCCCCCCTAATTACGCTCCTGTTCCATTTGCTTATTATTACCGTAGAGCTATACCGATCACACGCGGACATCATTGAAAAATCTATGCTCGTATACAGGGCCGACTATGATTATGACGTTCTATAGATCTCGCGTACATAAAATCCGTTTACGTTACACCCCATTTAACTTAATATATTTTTCTGCGTTTATTAATTTATTATGTACGAATGTAATTTCACGTAAACAATAATCCGTGTGATAATATTTTTGCGTTTATTCGTTCGTAATAATATGCAAATTTATTTAAGTCGAGTTCCGACGTTGCGAGCCACGTCATAAAATGCTCTTTAATCGTTATCGATTATTAAATATTATATAATAATAATTTCTAAAAAGAAAAAGAAAATTTGGATTGATCATATTTGATTGGCACATGACACAATATTTGTCCCCGAAACACTGTGTTTGACAAGACAATCGTATTGTTCGGGATTCGTATACACAAAAATTCAATTGCATTTGAAAGAAAAACAAATCCGAACCAATCGATATCGAATTAAATAAAAAATTTTGCAATTGGACAATATAATTATCAAACGGCAACGAATGTCTGATTCCGTGTTCAATTATAGCATGCGAATCGTCCGTCGCATCTCGCTATAAATTAATCGCATTAATCACAGTTCGTTTAACGTTGGCAGTATTCAACGTCGATATTTATAATGTCAACGTGCAACGGGGTCCTGTTGGCTCGGTACTACTGCGATCGTAAAACGGATTTCGCGATTGACAATAAAGCTCTTCCTCTCGATTACTCCCCAAAGATTTTTCACTGCTATTGCAGTATTACACGCTTCACCGTCCGGTCTCTAAACGTTATCACAAAATTTCTCGTTTCAGTCTTCAGTTCCGTCAGTGTTTTTTAGATGTTCGACAGTCAGAGATGGATTTCCCATTAGGCACTGCAGGCAGCTGCCTAGGGCGGCAAATTTTTTTTTTACTGTTTTATTAAAAAACATAAAACTTATGAAAAAAAATTGGAAAACTAATTACTTTATATTTACGAAAAATAATTGTATAATAATGTGTGAATTTTTTTAATATTTTTATATTATTTTTGTATCTATATTGGTTCATTATAATTTATAGTCATTAATGATGACTCATAATAAATAAAAACAAATGTACAGAAAACAGTTTTTGATAATACTATTCCTAACACGTTGGTGTAGTCCACCCAGAGCCCCCGCATTGTCACGTTCAAAATACGTACGGTCGACCATGGGTCATATACGGGTCCATTTCTACGGTTCCCCTAATTTGAATTTGCAATATATCCGGAAATAATTATGCACAAACGACCGGACTTCATGCACATTCGTGTCCAAATGATGCACAAACGATCTGCTCAAACAGAATTTAAAAATTCCGAATTAGGGGGGGCCGTAGAAATGAACCCGTCATATACTCATATTATATCAAGCAACAATGGTTAATTAATAGAGCGCGGATTTCTATGCAATCGCATATTTTTTTCCTTTCAATATTTTTTGGATTTTTGTCAGTTATCTCCACGAATCATCATAATTTGAAGCTAATAGTGAAATTTTTTTTTTGCATATTTCTGCATATTTAGAGGCTATTGCATATTTTTGCATATTTTGGCAAAATTCAAAATTTATTGCATATTGAAGTGAAAATTTAAAAAAAAATGTATAAAATAATATTTTGTCTAGTAGAAAAATTAAAAATAAATTTCATAATCACTAAATAATAATTTATATATATATATTTAGTTATAAAATAAATAATCGATAGCGATGTAAACTTAATCGCTCTTGCTGTGTCAGTCGATTATCGACATACCACTTGCTTCAAATATGCCCCAATAACTTCGATTGACATCGAAGGTTCGTTTTCAGTCTTTAAAAATATGTTAACCGATAAACGACATATCTTCACAGATTATAAACTTGAAATGCATATGATTATTTATTTTAATAATAAATAAAATTTTAAAAATAAATTAAGTTCAGAAAATTCCCTAAATTTTTAGTATTAAGTATTTAAGTAATTCATTTTTATAAATTGAATTATAAATTTTAAATAAATAAAAAATTCTTGCATATTTTTTGCATATTTTCATGATTTTTACTGCATATTATATGGCATATTTCGATACTTTTAAGTGCATACAAATCCGCGCTCTAGTTATTAATATTATTTTTATGGGATATCGTTGTAGTCGGAATTTCGGGGAAAAACAAATACCCACACTGCCACACTACACTACAAAATCGACTACATAATATTTATATTATAAATAATCCTAGGCTGCTGTTTGAAAATCTGTTTTTATTAACATTTAGTGGACATCCGTTGACAATTTTTCAAAGTATACCAATTAATATAAACGAAGAAATTTTCTAAAAATTCAAATGGATATAGGTACATATGTCTATATTTAATATTTATATTAGGTATTTTGAAAGGGATAATACAACTTCTTCGCCTATAATAGGAACGACAAATTTTTGGTGCTCATAGCCGTAAAAAAAGATAAATCCGCCTCTGTCGACGGTTATTATCAAAATGAAACAATATCGGTAACGACCGGATACGTGAACGTGAAAAGACAAATCGTATCGTTTCAACGAAATATAGGTCGAAGCGACATACTTTCCACGCGCATGCATCACAAATACGTACACTACATTATCGTGTCACGATAGCGCGCGGATCACGACGATCACGATCCCGATGACCTGGCATTTTCGATGCCGAGTGAGACGACGATGAGAACTTTATTGGTTTTACATAACACGCGCGAATTTTCCCTTCCGCCTCGTCTGTAAGCTATTTTTTTCCACGTAACACAATCGGACCTTGTTAAAGAAAATAAAAAGAACAGAAAATATGTTACGCGTAACATCTCGTCGGATTGGACACTGGACACGGAACGTTTGAAGTCAAACGCGTAATACTAGTAATTGTTTTCAAGAATGTTACCGCGGACCAGTGCTTCTCAAGCCGTGGGCCACAACGGTCCCCTGGGTGGTCGTTTTTGTAGTACGATGAGGGGCAAGGGAATTGCAACCGTTTGTGCACAACAATTTAATTTCAGTTAAGAAAAAAATTGTCTTATTATTCCAACGGGTTTTGATGGAAAATAATGTATGCACCAACACTAGTCTAATCTTTGTAAGGCCACAAGAATCTTACATAAAACTTAGAGAAGACTTCATTAGGTACAATATGTTTGAGAAACACCGCTGTAGTCGAATACATTTCATTTATTTTTCACAATTATATTTAAAAAATGCATGGTTGTTTTCGCGATAACTGTTGATAACATATTTACGTGATGATAGACGGCTAATCATTATGGAAAAAATAATTTTCATACTAAACCCAGTGCTCGAATTGGAGGGATACGCAGGAAGACGGAGCTCCTCTACTATTTTTTTTTTTTTTTTATGTACCCCGACTACATTTTTTCACCGGAACGGTGGGACGCCACGTTCATCCTAAATTATGTCCAAAATAATTTTTATGTGAATTTCAATTTACGTCAATTTGAAAACGCATTTTACGATTTATAATATCAAAACTATTTTCATAATTAAAGATTATATGGTGGTTATGATAAGGGACAACGTCATCATTTCTGAAGAAATATAAATAGCAATGTCTGTGAATTCGATGTATTGTACTTTATACATTGTACGGTTTGTTATTAATATTGCCGATCGACGATATCGTCATTTCAGAAAAAAATAAATGCTCGCACCACAACTAATCTTCTAAGGCCGTGGCCCGCACTAAAGAGTAAAAATAAATAAAAACAAAAACCAATTATATGATTACATCATTCGATTCATGAGACTGCTTGATCGCCTACAATTATGTTAATTATTATTTTATTTTTATTTTCTATTGTAACATGTAGGATGTTGGTATTGCTATCAAAATATATTATATTTGGAATTTAAATATTAGTTTAGCTGAAAAGTAGCGTTCAAAATATATGTAAGGTTGGTGTAGGGGGGAGGGGGTCAGGGATAAAACCCCCCACGAGTATGAGTTAAATAATTGCGCACATGGAACGCAGTTTTCAAATCATTGGACTGAGCTCCTCTACTTAATTTTTCCCAATTCGAGCTCTGACTAAACCACTTAAAAACATCAATATAATGGATTTGCTGGAAAGTGTTCGGACAGAACTCCCATTTATGTACTTTTCTGCAGCAATGTAAAACGAGAACAAACATTTCAAATCGCAGCATAGCACATCGACGGTTTATATTCATATCACATATCCGGTACGTTCGTAGTTCTACAACGAACTTTATTGTTTTTCATTATTTTTTTTCATCTTAGTAAAATGTAGCCGAACTTTATTGTAAGATAATAAACTATTAATATTATCTTCGTCTGGACTATTTTCGTGCGTATTTTATCTCTTTTCCGTCGGTATTGTAATTTTATATACGCACACTCACACACACACACACACACACACACACACACACACACACATACATGTATATTATGCAGTGACGTAGCAAGGGGGGGGGATAGAGATACCTACGCCCCGAGCGCAATTCCCGGGAGGGTGCAAAAATAAAAAATTTGCAATTTAATTGTTACTTATAAGTAAAAGCAATATTATGTATTTATGTAATTACTTATATAACTTATAAATAGTATTATGTTATACCTATGTACTAACTTTTAATTATTACGTATATTTATATTTTAATTAGTTATTGATTTAAATAAAAATCATTATTTATATTAAATCTATAAAAAATATTCAGTTTTTTTGTGAGTTTTTTATAAATTAAAATACTTAAGGGTGTATTTTGAAATTTCACCCCGGGCGCAATATTTGATTGCTACGGCCCTGATATTATGTTAAATTTTAACTTATCATCGCGCTGATAATATTGTAAAAGTTTTATGGACTTTTGTTTGTTTTCCAATTTTTTTTTGTCAGCATCGAATCGCCAGTGGCGGCAACGGTTGATACTACTAATACGGCGGCGGCGGCGTCGGAACCGCGCTTGAGCGTAGAACGGTTGCCCGGGGAACCGGGGTCGTCAACAGACGACGAGCGACCGTGGCCAGCAGACGCGATAACCGCACAACGACACCGCCACTATCGAAGCGACAGTTACCGGCCGTCAGCGCCGCCTCAGGAGCAGCCGCAACAGCCGCAGATCTGCAGCACCAGCGCAGCCGCCGCGCCCAACGCCATGATCACGGTGGCCGCGTGCGGTTCCAGGGCGCCACCCGGGCCTAAGCCGCGGCCGCCGACGTCCGCGTCGGCCACGCCGTTCCCGGTGGACTTGGTCGACAGGTTGAGGTCACCGATCGCGGCGCCGGTCCGGCCCAGGCAATACGGCCGCCGGAGAAGCGTTCAGGACGCCGTGGCCACAGCGATAGCGCTGCACCAGCGACAGGAATACCGGCAGCCATTCCGGCCGCTGGCGCTAATTGGCGTGGCCGTCGACGAACCGGAACCGGATGCGGACCTGGAACGAGATGTGCAGGAACCGAGGCTCGTCACGCCGCTCAGGTCAGTGGTCGGTTTTTTGTTGTTCGTTTAGTTATCGGCACTGTTCTAATGTGAAACGTCATTCGTACGTCAGAATCTCGGGACAAACTAGTGGCGGATCTACGTGGGGGGGAGAGTTAACCCCCCCCCAACGAAATCAGGAAAAATATATATAAAAAATCAATAATTTTATGAATTAAGAAAAAGATTTTTTTCTTTTTTTAAATATGAGTGAAAGTAAATAATTTGTATTTTTATTCATACAAGAAAATAGTAGTCTTAGATTTAAATTAATGTCATTTTTACAATTAATTACAGTCGAACCTTGATAAGTCGAAAAAAATTCTGTTCCCTTGCGTAAACCTCGATTACTCAAAAAAAAAACTATAGATAACTCGAACATATTATGTTCCGAATATAGACGGATAATGACGGATAGCTTTATAAACATTTGTCTAAACGTTCCGATGATTTTTTTTTTCTAATCGCATTTATTGTGTTTATTATCGTATATATTAACATAAGTTAATACAATCTCGGCATATAACAATTTTTTTTTCATTTGTATCGGTATTGCCAGTAGTGTCGGCGCTAGGGGAGGACATATAGAGTATTTGTCCAGGGCCCCGCGCTTGTTAAAGGGCCCCTGTGATTTTAAATTATCATCTTAATACCGTGAGACACATTGACATTTTATATTTTAAAGGCCAGGGCCCCACAATACCTAGCGCCGGCACTGATTGCTAGTTGCTATTAAAAACTTTAATACATACATACATTTAAAAAATTCTTTAAGTCGAATTTTTTTTCTAAAACCTTGGTAACTCGAAAACCTTAGTAAGTCGAAACCTCGATAAATCGAAAAAAATTGCATTTCCCTTGAATTTCGACTTATCGAGGTTCCACCGTACTTACTATTGTCTCAATTCATTATCAATCACTGACTACAATGTTATAAAATTATCCTAAGGGAAAATATTTTTCGAACCTCCTCCTCCTCCTTCCCCCCAAAAAAAAAAAAAAAATCCTGTGGATCCGCCACTGGGATAAACGTATAAAATGTCTCGATTTACGAACAGAAACGAATACCACTGAACGGTAACATTTCACCGTTGACTGATAACGTTAGATTTATACAGTATCCAGTACAATCGGGGGTGTTTTCATTATCACGAATAAACGTTTACCATACAACGAAAAAATAAATACCCAATCAGTTTTCCAGAGGAGTGATATTTAACTCCTTTGCACTCTCTGACTGCTGTTATTCATGTGTACGTTTATAATATGGTGTGTTTTCTCATTAAGCCCAAAGACAAAACATGAATACTCATTTCCGGTGTTTTTTCACTTGGTGGTCCTTACATGTTCCGAGGAAAAAATTTCATTTATACAATCAAAAAAGTGTGATTCGAGTGATCTACTCTACAGTTATATGTTGACCAGCTATAGAAACATTTTTTTTTTTGACAGTATATTTTTTCTGGTATAGGATGAAAAATACCAGCAATCGCGTATATTATACTCTGTATGTCAGACATATTTTTAACGACTAACCGGAAACCGGTATTAACGATAGCGCTAAAATAGTGATCTATCTCATACAGTGTATAAATGTACACGCTACTCTTTTATTAATGTCCTGCAGTCAATGACGTAGCAAAGGTATGACGAACTATGCCTATGCCGGGGCGCAAATTGCAAAAGAACACAAAATTGTGCAAAAGTCGTATTTTATTTTGGCTTCAAAACGAAAATTTTCCATTATACTTTTTGTAATGTATGAAATTATAAATTATTGCTAAATTTGTCAGTTTCACAGCAAGGAAAGCAAACTTTTCAAATTTACACTGTAATAATAACTAATAAACATAAATTATATTCTTAAAAAAAAAACTAGTATAATTTAAGGTTAAAAAAATATCATTGAATTAAATTTTTAATTGGTAAAAAGACATTTTTTTTAAGTTTGTCAGGGGCACTAGCAAATCTTCCTACACTACTGCCTGCAGTACTTTCAACCATTGAACTTTACCCATTTTACACGTGACATTTTTAATCATTTTTATAAGACTAACTCAATTCGACTACTTCTAAGGATAAATTCTCAAATATTTTCCATAGTCGAGGTATTGTAAAAACTTAAAATTCCGTTTCGTTAACAAAGTTCGTGTTCATTGAGCATTTTCACGTGTTTTGTAGTGGGTAACGGAAAAAGCCTCGGGCGGAATTTCAATTTTTGCGGTTTGAAAAATTCGATGATTACTAAAATTAATATAAATTTATGATTTACCAATCAAACGTACTCGTATTTTATTTATACATATCGTGCGGTACGATTTGGTAACAGTTATCACTTAACAGTAGTTTCAAAACGGAAAAACATTACTGTAAACAACAGCGGAGAGTAAAACAGTGCTGAAATCGGAAAAATTATTTTAGCTGATGCCGTGTCTATTACGATCGGTTCGTACGTATTGCATGCGTGCACTCCGTGTTCGAATAGCTCTAGGCCGCCGTCAAAAGTGGACAAAATGTTTTCCGACCGGTCTTCTAAAACGGTTCGCAGCTGTTGGAAGATTGTAACAACTCGATGGTCGTACACCTGCAGTTGCGCGCGTATTTGGCACAAATATTTTAACAAAATAACAACGGACGACCAAAGCGCGTCGAAATGATAATACCTCTATCTCTAGGACATCAAATCGAAAACGTGCAAACGGAACTCGTAATTGTAACGTACGCATTATAATAACGTGTATAAATCTATGTGAGTAATCGATAACTATATTTCAAATCGGTTTTTTTGTTTTTTTTTTTTTTTTGCGGTCTTGCCGTGGTTACCCCGTGCGAGGCTCTAACGTCGTATCATCCATACTATAAGTGCCCGCAGGACAAACGGTGCATATAACAAATATATTATATGTAAATATTATTGCATTCCATGATGCGAAACACGAATGAACATATATCGGTTGTAAAGCACTATGTACGTTGTTGTAACAAAAAATAAAAATAAATACTCGTATCTATTTGAAAAATAATTCTGTTCAAGGTGACATCCTTGAAAGTTCTACCCTTGGCGACCGTTCGTACAGCGGCCTATAAAATATACCCTTTCCCAACTCCACACACACACACAAACACATATACGTGTTTATATGTTTATACAAATGCATTTATATTTCATATTACACAGTGTTTTTCGACCAAGCCCCTTTCCTCTCTTCCAGCGTCTTGCACATTTCTGACGATATTATGGATTATGGTTTTATTAACTGCACTACATCAAAATAATACGCTTATGCCCACCTTTTGTACCTGTAGTAGTAAGAGGGCTCTTGCTTGGGATGCTATATGATAAAAGGTGAAATTTTGGCGTAAAGAACCTAAGCACTTGAAAAACATGCAGGTTCAAGTTCCTACACGAAATCGTAACTCATTTGAAGAGAGCTGTAAAATATTACCATTATTTTTATTGATGCAAAATTTTAAATTAAAATAGTTCTGTCTAGCATTGAGAGCAGACAGAAATATAATTGTCATTCAAAAATAAAAGTAATTATATTAATAACTCATAACAAATAGTTTTCGTTTTTAAATGAATTAAAGGTTATGCTATTCAATATTGCAGTTTAATTTAAATTTAAATATTATCATCATATGCTTGACTGTAACAGATTTTGTTTTTCGGAGTGATTTGAGGTGGGGAAAGTGTAGGAAATAAAAAGATTGATGGTCCGAATCTAGTAATTGTCTGAAACGCAAATGGCCCAGTCGCTACGACGATCCAGTCTCCTACGCACACGATATCAAGTACACGGATCGTGTGTCAATTATAATAAAGCTTCTAACAAAAAATGTTAATGATATAGATATTGTGTTCGTGCGTTATGGTTAGAGCGTATGCGCGTTATTCTCGTCGCGGTCATTGTTACGTGTCTTCCTCGTACCGACAATACACTATTTATACGCGTTTCATCGCGCGGCAGTGAGCTGCTTTTGAAAAAAATATACGTAAAAAAAAAAAAAAAATGTAAAAATAAAAAACTCTCTTGCAACACGTGCGAAATGCGCGTAATGCTCGTAAAGTCGTTTTCTTTTATTTCGGTTTTTTTCGCTTCTTTTTCTTCTTCTTTTACTCGTCGAACGGTTTTCGCGAAACTCATGCGTAATAAATATAACACCCGTACAAAACGCTGATATGCGAAATAAAATATTATGCCCACGTGCGCGTGTCATTATCATAGTAGTTTTACACCCTCGCTAAAAATCAAAACTTCGCACAATCGTTTTTTCGCGGGCATACACGCGTATTTAGGTCACATACAATAATAAAACGTAATACTGTGCAGTAGGTACTCGTCCATATACATTTCATGTAATATTATTATGTTATTAAATTCGTTGTTTGCCGCCCTAAGACCGCATTGTGCACGTAGCGTATTATTATCATCATTATTATTATTATTATTATTATTATTATTATTGTAATTATTCCGACGAGGGCTTTCAAAGCTCAAAATTCTACTGCGAGTGTTTTGACTTTGATGTCGACTATGCGTAACAGCGCGATCAATCGCCGGGGAATGGGGAGGTTTCGTTCCAAAATGGTGTGGATTCATTTTACGGTTCGTATAGAATTATGGTTATAATCAAATCTAATAAAATGCATACGTTTTAAACAAAGTCCACGTACTATACACACTGCAGAAGACTTCAAACGGTGTCCAAATTGAACTTTGTATCGAAAACCTTTGAACAAGACTTTTCGACCTAATGAAATATACGCGCAGCACTGTACCACCGGTGCTAACGTAACCCATCCTTTCACGGTTCAAAAAAGGACCTTGTGTGCATATGAAAACTTTATTATCTGTACTATGTTGCAATCGTTATTGCTTGGCTTGTTAATTAATCTATGTTGCGTATAAAAATTCGCGCCATAATATTTTTAAAAAAAATATATAAATCACATCAAAAGTTAAGTTGGATGATTATTTGGTCGGGAAAACTTTAAA